ATGTTACTATGAACGAAGTAAAACTTTGCAATTTATGGTTGACAAAGTGCTAAGATCAACAAAATGTTGAACACTTTACTGAATTTTTTTTGATCGCCTTAAGAATGAAGACTTATGAACGAATATCAGAGAGTGACTGGGTATACATCAATATAAGATAACATGGAATTTATCATTGTGAACATGTCTTCCTTTCAACTATGTCGATTTCTAAGTGTACTGTGGTGTATTCTAATGATGTCGACAGATATAAGTATTATGTATCGTCAATGGAAAGTGAAATATCTGGTGGAAGAAGGTAAAGCAGGTCAAACAGAAGAGAACGAAAGAAGAAAATGATTGATGTGGAAACGAAAGAACAATGAAGTCTAAGACAATTGATCGAGATTTTTCAAATGAAGTGTTTACTGTATGGTTCTCAGATTTTACTAAGATGTTCTGTAATTTCGTGTTGAAATACATTCGATTGTCCCCACTTGTGTTCTCGTTTACTACAGTACCATAAAATTTACAAGCGTTTTTCTTTTTAATGGTTGAGATCATGAACCAATTGAAGCTAGACCACTAAGGAAAATCTAGAAGCGCTGGATGACCGTTTCGTCCTATTGTGAGACTCCTCAGCAGTGCTCACCCACGATCCCACTTCGCGAGATTCGAACCGAAAATCTATCAGTTTCGCGCTCAAGTGCTTCTTTTTGATCAAATATGTCAATCTCTCTAAAGATAATGAAGATAATAATAATAATAATAATCTCATCTGCACTTTAGGGTAATAGTTAGAATTGTAAAATTATTAAGGAACATATAACATGTAACCATGAAATCTAATCTACACTAAATGTGTATGCAATTACACAAAGTTATTGATTTTTTGAGTAGGAAACTATAAATTAATAAAATGTAAACACCGTAAAAACGTCTGAATTTATGTGTAACTGTATATGTATGTGTATGTGTGTGTGTGCCTACATTCATGCTATAATTAGGTAATATTTGATAAATAAATCTAATCTCCGTCTACTCCCAAAAAATTTCATCATTGTTTTTTTGATATTACCAGAGTTGAAATCGAGAGCCAATTGAAGCTAAACCACCATGGAAAATCTGAAAGCATTGAACGGCCGTTTCGTTCTATTATGGGACTTCTCAGCAGTGCGCATCCACGATCTTGCACTCGCGAGATCCAAACATAGGACCTACTAGTCTCGTGCCAGTGCACTCAACCGATAGGCCACTGAGGCGGCCGGCATCCAACGGTGTTTATGTCTAACTTCATCCAATCCACGATAAGAAATGTCAATTACATAACTGTAATGTTGAATTACTCAAATTAGTTTTCATTAAAATAAAGCCATCTGCAATATTAACAAAGGGTTGGTTTGAGATAAAGTTTAAATTGCTTGTTATGAAGTATGTGCGAAGCAGTACTAGTTGACTATAATCTTTTCTGTTCAGACTGTTCTGATTAGCCTATAAGACCGATCATGTGTACTGATTATAAACAATTTAAGGCTACTGAAGGCCTATACTCAAGTTTCTTAAGGTCAATCGAGGAATCAGTAACATTCATCAAAGTTATTATTAAAAAAATTAACGAAACTTGATGAAACTAAGACCTGTTTTCTATTTCTCATTTACATTTATTCCAATAGTAACGTGTTACTACTTATAAGTAGCTATACTATAGGACGACAATACTTACAACCAATAATAATATTTCTTCATTTTGACAAACTTGATGTTACAATTTTTTGAGCGATCAATAACTCAGATGATCTGTCAGTGTGAATAGAATGACTGTACTGATGTCATAACAATCCTTTTTCCTTGTTTACATGAATGGATCGTAAATTTACCTTAGACGAATATCTACACTAGATTCCCTTCCACTGTCTACTCTACAGGACTGCAACACAAATCAGATCAACAACAGGTAATTAGACTGACTGGAATGTAAATATATTTTCACACTGTTATAAACGGTAGGATACTAGTTATAACTCTAGGGTTTCTTGTTATAACAGTCCTTTCACTTTCCACACGTATATGAGACGTTAATTTACCTTAGACGAATATCTACACTAGATTCCCATCCAGTGTCTATTCTACAGGATTTCAACACAACTCAGATCAAGAACACGAGATTAGCCTGACTAGAACATCAATATATTTCCACACCAAAATCCGACACAAGGAACAGTCAATCAATAACAATCAATACATAATATAGATAGGGGAATATATACAACACACATAATACCTGTCATCCTATCTAATGTCTGACTCATCAAGACAACCAATTATCGTCATCCTCGCGCACACATCACACATTGAAACCCGACACAATCCAAAAACAAATGGACAATCAATGAATAATAATAAATAAGGATAGGGGAACATATAACTCATCTGACACCTGTCAGACTATCTACATGCCTGACTAAGCAGACAAACAATCATTATCAATCTCACCCACACATTAACTGAGAAAGCTTCATTTTCGACCATCCAGAGATATATATATCTAGGTATTGCTAAAGCATACTAGGAACCTTTTCGATGACCACCATTACTGTTCATGATCAATTAGTAATGAACTCTATACGAAGTAAATGGCAGATGAAATAGTTACATGTCAACATATCTGACTGTGGGACATGGAAACACAAATTGAAATAGCACATTAAGCAATAACTATCATAGTTGAACGTATATACATTATGCTGAAATATACAAATCAGTAAGGAAACGGTGTATAGGACTGGCCCCCAAATGTTCGAATAAATGATTTCAATCTTTACAAACATAATTCGACTATACAAATCAGAATGAGTAAGCTTGCGGTTAGTTGCCATATGCAAACAAGATGTATTGCTGTGTAATTTATATTGTAGTGGCGTGCTTCGTTAATCGATCGTCTCGATAACTGTTATTATATCAATCTGAACGGTGTATAATGTCAGAAGTCAAAGGGAAGCGGCAACTACATTTTTATTGAAAAATAACATGGGCTAGAAGGCAGTGAGCACATGATCAAATGTTAGCGAGCGAAGTAAAAATGACATGCATGGGAGATGGCTGGTAAGCCAACTCGCTATGAGCAAGCATTACTCAATATTTATAATCAGACAAAAATGAATGAGAGACATGTAATAGGTAGAATAAGAAGTGTGCATGCACATACGCTCATATAAAACAATAGTCAAGGTCAATAAGCGAATAATTAACAAGATCAAAATATGACTCATAACGTTATAGGTGAATTGGCTTGTCCAGAAACTAGAATAAGCTATGTAGGTGTAATATAGTACACGTCGTTACACTACTCCCCACAATATTGCTTAAACTATGGTTGTACCAAGTAAAAAGGCTTAGAGAAACCTGATAGTATATGAATTGTAGTTTCATATTACCGTGCCAAATAAGCATAGAAATGTCATCGCCACACACATGTTTTGAGAAATGTCAGTGAAAGATAAACCTAAATGTCAATGGAGAAGAGGAAGACCAAAGAACACATTACGTCGAGAAATGGAGACAGACATGAGAAGAATGAACAAAAATTGGGCAGAATTAGGAAGAAACGCTCAGGACAGAGTGAGCTGGAGAATGCTGGTTGGCGGTCAATACTCCATTGGGAGTAACAGGCATAAGTAAGTAAATAAGTGAAAGATAAAAGCACAATGTTTGGTGAAATACGTCATCATGGATCAAATTGGTCACCTATATACTCAAAATTGAACCAAGATAGCATAACCATGTGTTTATCAGTAGATATCCCAAATTTAGATAAGGGTGAAAGTTATATCATAGTTATGGCAGTGATGCTACATACTCGATAGTCACATCAACTTATTAATAAAAGAGAAGTCAAGAACGACAACTCTGGAAAATACAATTTCTGGTTTCGATTAATCATGGGTCAAATGAAACTGTTGTAGTATCGATCTGATTGGCAATTTAATAAGTAAAATATGTGATGAAAATCCTCCATAGAAGTAAATTCAAAGTTGAAAATCATGTCATTCTGGAACAGGATCACACAGATTCCCAATAATCAGTGACTTATTTCTCAGTGAAAATCTAGTTGTAAAAAGGATATCAGAATGCATTGGTTTCACACTGGTCGTTGATAATTACATCACTCTCGTTGTCAAAGTTGATATTCGTACTATTCACATATCATGCCTCACCATTTTTACTACAACCACATTTGATGTCATGGAATGTTGTCTTGGAGTATCAGCCTCAAAGCATCAACTCTAACCGGATAACTACGACTATCGAAATGTTTACCAAAACACATAAGACCATTTTGTCATGATCCTGATGAAACTTAAAAACTTCATTTATTTACAGATGTAGGTGGCCACTTATGAGCAGTGAATATAAACAGTGAGGAAGATGGTGAATACTCAATGATCATAATCAATTATGTACTATGAATTTAAGAGTGAACATGAGTTAATATGACTGCATAAGGATCTTTATTGCTAACCGAAACAAAACAACTGGAAAACCATCTTCGATTATTTCGTGTTCATCCAAACACGCTGTTATTGTCTAATTCGTGTGAACATGATTGATCACTATTTATCTCAACCAACTTGATCGAATTTTCTATGAAACTATCGTCTCAAACAAGTCGTCTCCAAGTTCTACACAACGAAATCACACTGGTTAGACAACCACCACATCGAGGAAGCTCTGTACAGCCGTTTCGATCAACGATCATCCCAAATCAACACGAAACAATTGTCCTCCACTTCATTGTTCTCAGTGATTGTCTAACATGAATTACTCAAATATATGAAACTCAAAATTCAACAATCTGTACATCAATCACCAACACTACTTCCCTGTCGCTTACATACTGTTGCCTAACACACTAACCATTCATCATGTCAATTCGAAAAATACACCGGTAAATATCGATCATTCACATTGATCTGTTTCATCTTAATTCATCCCACAAACAGTAAAACAACAAGTGATTATCCACAACATACATTTTATGTGAAATATCAACTAATTGACATCATCATCACAATATTATTCACGAAATAATTCTACTAACACAACACACAAATTACATCAATCACAGTTATTGATAATACATGAATGGACTGTCAGTTGAGCCAATCGATTCAGGTATACTATACGGTTGATCTGTACTCTGATAGTTCGTATACATTGGATAATCCGCGTATTGTTCATAGTATGATGGTCTTGAACTTCCGATTTGATTGTAACCCATATATCCGTAAGATTCACGTCCTCTACTCATCTTGCACTGGATGTAGTCTTGCAAAAGAGACTGTACAGATGAGATGATATTCTGTAGTTGATAGTAATTTATGCCTTCATTGTTGTACATTGTCGGCATGTTTCCAGGTATTTCGTTAGACATGAACATTCTTTTGATTACCGCATTCTCAACTACATCACTGTAAACCACCAGAATGAACAATACACTGAATGATGTGAAGATATGTTTTGTCACCATGCCAAGCGATCTGAAAGTAAGATCGAGAAGAACGAATTAATGTTTATTCAAACAGTGATAAGAACAAATGATTACAAGTTGAGTGTCATGCATCACCACATGTTCTCACTCACTCTCACTTACATGATATGCTGAGACTATTGTCCGACAAGCCATACAATTATGTATTTGTGCTTATCCATAGAAATAACGTAAATCCAAAAAAGCGAACAGACAATTAAGCAAATCATGGTGCAACAGGTTGAGTGTTTATCAACTTTTACGACAACATACATTGAACATATAAGAAAATAAGATGTCGGTGAGTTCATTTAGTGGAAAATAATGATGAACTTGGTCGACTTCAACTATTCATGATTATTAGACTCTCTGTGTTTCAAGTAGGAAAACTTCACGTCATCCTTAATTCTTGAAAAAAGGTGCAACTAACAGTGACTTTGCACAAATCCATAAAGTCAAAATCATCGACAACCATTATTCATAACAACGATCTAATCTCTCACATGCTTCAATTTTCATCATTTCAGTCGACATTTTCAACTCGATTCAAACAATATTCTCCTTTCTATCTTGATGTTCTACAAGGATTATGGAGTTTACAGACAACCAATTCATTTCATACCACTTGGCAATCAGTATTCTACATTTCAAATGTTGAGTAATTCGATCGGCATATCATAAACTACTCTAAATAAAACGTGGTCATTACACATAACGGATACATAGTTGGGATCCAAAACAGTAAAGCTGTTCATTATTTTAATGGAAATCATCAGTGTCACTCTTCTTTATCTGTCCCTCATCTAACAGCACCAGTTAAATAATCTAACAAAAGGAGGGAAAGTAGTTCGTTATTGTGTGGTACTTGAGAATTATAGAAACTGACAGTAATAATTGACAGAATTCAAGAGTTCACATCAGTATGTTTCAAACAATACTCTATGCTCATCGACACTCTCTTCCAATCGTTTATGAAGTTCAAACAAACTTCAAATATGATAATTTTGTTGAAGTCAGAGTTCCATTATGTTGACTGAGTTAAAGTAATTTATTAAAATACTTCATGATAAAATAAAGACAATTACAGTTTAACTAAACTAAACATCTGTAAGCAAAGATGGATATTGGCCAGCAGTGGAATCAAGTTTGAAGCCCGTTTCGTCCTATATGGGACTCGTCAGCTGGATGTACCTACCACATCTCAGAGTTGATGTTCACTCTGGGACACGAACCCAGTACTTTTTGCTTCAAACACCATCACGTTATGCACATATATCAATTACAGACTGACCAGTTGCAGTCCTAAACATCGATGGGAGGGTTCAAACAGACAATACTAAATGAATTTAGACTAAACATCTACCTTCAAACACTGTAGTGATAAGATTACCTCATCTAACTTACCTAAATTCACAGTTGTTATTCTAACAATGTACTGATAAGTTTACACATTTCAAATTCACTCATATTTATATGTAAATATCCCTATCAACGAATACCATTCTGATTGTTTACCTAATAAACAATCAACTTCTCAAAATATTACACCAGCATCATTTCATCAAAAGATTAATGACAATCTAGAATCAACTAACAAATAGATTGGATACTGGTCATTTTGTTTTTTGCAGAATGATAGCCCGTATATTCTTTTAAAAAGGTATTTATATCATATATAAGAACTTTCGTCTTAATAAGAGCGAATAGGTTCACAGTGTGTTGGTTCACCAACAATTGAAGAGATCAGCATGGCCATCAGATAAATCAAGAGCGGCAAAGCAACGGGACCAGACAACATCCCGACAGAGGTACTGAAAGCAAATGTAGCAGCAACTGCAAACGTTTCACAGTAATTAGGCGCCGAGTTGATGTAAGACATTAAATAGGAAGAATATATTTTGATAATGCAATGAGAAGACGAAGTTTCTCGGAATCCTGTGATATATATATTTGGGCAATACATTTCGAACAATCTGATCACACTTAGTATACTTGTTAAGACATTTTTATATGAAAATTAAAAGGAAAATTAGATAGGTTAAGGTAAACCGTAGCAAAGAAAGAAAATAAATAAAGCACACAAAAACAATGTGGTAAGCATGATAAGCATGGTGAGCAAAGATGGATAGCGGGTAGCAGTGGAATCCAGTTTGACGCCCGTTTCACCCTATTTGGAACTCGTCAGCTGGATGTACCTACCAGATCTCAGAGTTGATAATCACTCTGGGACTCGAACCCAGTACCTTTTGCTTCAAGCGCCATTGTATTATCCACTCAGCTACTGAGTCCTGATAGCCACTTGCTTGTGCGATGGGGTGAAGTTTGAATTCACTTGGTATTGTTTGTTTGAATCTTCCCATTGATGTTTAGGACTGCAATTGATCAGTCTCTTATTGACATATGTGCAGAGTGAACATCAACCCTGAGATGCAGGTACATCAAACTGACGGGCCCCAAATAGGACAAAACGCGCGTCAAACTGGATTCCACTACTAGCAACTATCCATCTTTGCTTATAATAATTAATTTTGGTCCTTTAATATTGTTCCTCTTATTCCAGTACATTTACTCTTTGCTACCCTGCAATAAGTAAAACAAACTTGCATTAATAAAATCGCACTGTTACAAGTAATCTATACACAAAAATGTTAAATAAACATGTATACACCCCTCTTTTATTAAGTGAAGTTTATTTTTAGTCTCTCTCATCAATAAATAGTGTAAATAAACTGTAATTGATGTTTTTAAAAAACTTAAAAGGTTTCCTTTTTATAACGAATTCAGATAGTGTGTAAAGATTTTGTTGCGAATTCATAGAAATCTGTCGCCAATTCGTTGTGATTTTATATCCGACTTTTCATCACCTGAATTATACACCAAAATTAATACGACTTGTCTAATCTTAACATTGTGCCAAATCAATGACGTTCGACCTGTATTAGCAGTCTAGCTACTGCCGGTCCCAAGCCCGAGTAAAGGAGGAGGGTTGGACATGGGGTTAGCGACCTCATCCCGTATAAAACCAACTCGCTAAAAAACGCTAACCAGAAAAATATATTCAAACCATTTAAACTCTGCACTGGGAGTTGAAGGAATAAATATGACGTCTCATGATGAAAGCCCAGTTCCCTCGGAAGTAATGAGGCCGATGCACCTTCTAACAACCAGTGCAACAATTTCCATAGGTACATGGAACGTCTGGCTGTGAACGTGGGATACAATAATCAATAAACTAAATATAATTTGGGGACAGTAATTCGTATAATAATAATTCACGATTCAAAATGAAGTTTATAATAAGATGAATATAGATATACACAATCTAATTACTCAATAATTAAACCATAATGAAATATATAGAATAAGCATCCATTAATAGGTCCTGGGAGTTACCTGTACTCGTGTCTTCACCAGGATATAACAGATTTGTTGGATTCATTATAAGAACTTTCGCCTAAATTTCATTAAATAGTTTCACAGTATTTGGGCTCCCAGTTGACCAGAGACAATATATAATGGATGAAATTTCTTCCTACAACACTTACGTATAAATACAAACTATTACCTCAAAGCAGCTTTTCCTTTCACACCACAAGTCTCTTATACGCTAAAACAAATACCAACTTTAAACATAGTTAACGTTGATTGGATGATCTATTTAGTATACAATGAACCAGAGAACAATGTACCTATTTGTATTCTATAATTCTGATGTTTCATTATATTGTCAGGTGAAACATTGGATTTACTTCAAGTTCATTCACTAGGAGTTTACAAATACATTCTTCTAGTTGAAATCATGATTCAATTGAAGCTAGATCACCATGGGAAACCTTGAAGCACTGGATAGCTGTTTTGTCCTATTGTGGGTCTGTTTTGAGATATTATCTCATCGAAGACAATGCTGGATTGTTGCTCAATTTCGTGGATTGGTTGAGGTTAGTCATTATCACCGTTGGATGTCGTACGGTTCAGTGGTCTTGAGGTTAAGCGCTCACACGCGAGACTGACAAATCCTGGGTTCGAATCTTGCGAAGCGGGATAGTGAATGTGCAATTCTTAGGAGTCCTAAAATTGGACGAGACGGCCGTTCAGTGCTTCCAGTTTTTTGACGGTGGTCTAGCTTCAATTGACTAATGAATTCAACTATAAGTTTGCTAAAATCTCCACAAAACCTCCTTCTGAATATACTTTGTTTCTCTTTATTTGTCGGATTCGATCAAATTGAAAAGTGTTTAAGATAATGAAGAATATTTGTAGCTGATAATGAGGATGTTAGAGTTGTTATGTCTTTTTGAACTCAAATTATAGATCAACAGAATAATCATTTGTCCAGTTGTGACGGAGACATTTAAATAGTTCACATCCTTTAACTGCGCATACTGATAACGTTGTCTAGAATAAAAGTGAAAGATTCATGATTAATTCATTCAGCAAAGAGAGCATAAAATATCCATAACCAAAAGCTTTTAAAACTGAAAAAAGCTAAAAAAAGGGATATGAAACTTTTGAACTCGTCGTGAAAGTCTCAGGTCTCCTATTCGATCATCTGAGAAAATGTTGGCGAATGATGGTCATTTTAGGGTGAAATAAGTTTTCCGTGCTTCATAGCCTTCAATAATTCTCTTCAAGGTGGTACTCCACTCTAAAAACTTTCTTAAAATTATCCCCACTTATTCGATTTTCCAAAGTTTCTCGGGTTCCATGTAATGAACTAGGTTTAGCTTATAATTTTGCAAGTTGAAAATATCACAGATTGATCATCGCAATAAATCTTCAGTCAATTGAAGTTGTAAATGTTTGTCATTTGATTTAAATCTACTAATTTCATGATCATGCGCTCTCACGAAGATGTCAAAAATACAAGAATTGATCTCCAGAATAGTTGTGGCTTCTCATTGTTGAACAGTCACATACTAGAAAGATATAGATGTTCATTAACTTCCGGTTTCCAGTAGTACACCAACGAATATGATAAAAATTTAGTATACTGACAGCATTGAATCAACCAATCAGAATTGGGAAAATTGTATGTTATAACATGTGGGTGCGTACGTGCCCTGTTAATATATGAACGTACTGATTTCCGCCAATGAGAGAAGAGCGAATTATCGATCGAAGCAATGATACACAAAAGCCGTATGAGCAGTCTTGAGTACTTATCAGTTTCGCTTTCTGCCTCCTAGCCCAGTCAGTTTAGTCCAGAACACTTATTGCAGCCTCTGCAATATGAATCATTAATTCTCAAACATACCGGGTTTATATACCAAACAAACTGACCACATTGTACCATAAAATAGAAAATAACATTTTGTACAAG